AAGTCGGGCCCCTCCTCCAGCTGACGCATTTGTTTTCGGTTTTCATTCTTCTCTGCTGCATTGCGGCGAATCGTTCGCATTTGATCAGGATTTGTCATTTGAAGATCGACCTTTTGTTCTCTGGTTTCGGATTAAGGTATTGTATTGAATCCTAAGTTCCTTTTTTCGCCGTAATTTTGTCTGGTTAGGTTATTAGAATACCAAACAATGGATTCATGAGAAAGCCAATATTCCTTTTAGATTACTTCTGAGCTATTCCATGGATTGCTTGTTCAATACCTTGATTCGTTCTTCAGTTCCGGCACGTACTATGATTTCTTGCATTGATTATCTATTTGACTTTTGAATGGTTGATTTTATTTATTGGAATTCACATTTCCATTTCGTACGGTTTCCGTTTTTGGTTTCGGCAACCGATCTATTTTTGGAGCATGACTTGACTGACTATTGAACTCGCGGATTTCTGTTAAGTTTTACTTTTGGATGTTGGGATTTAGCCTTGAATGAGAATTGTAACAGTAATGATTCACTCCGGAAAGAAAATTAAAGAAAAAATACTGAGATTTTCTTTTTTCTTTTTTTTTTTTGTTCCCCAATTCTGTATGTCCAAATCAAAAGATGTGTCATATAACCTTGCGGATTAAGAAATAAAAAATTTTATTTTTGTTTTGAATTCATTTCTTTGAGAAGTTGAGCATTGCAAGTAATGTAAATGGCCTGGAAGCGCCGTTTCTTTGGTTTATTATCTTTTGCCTTTGTAATTCTTTGGCTGTTATCATTTCCCCTTACTGTGATATCTTTACCCTAATTCTTCTTTATTGTGGATTGGAGACGGATGAATTTTTTTTTTAATTTTTTATCATGATTTTTCTAAAAACTATTCGATTTACAGCTAAATAAGTACAATATAAAATTTTTAATGTATTTTAGTCCTGTATATTTAAGATCATTTTAATCAAAATTTAGTAACAAAAAATTTTAATTTCCCGGCCCCGCCATTCCTTAACGGTTCAAAGGCGACCGAAGTACTCGAAGGGGGCGGAGACCCACCAATTTCACCCTTTTCGATGATAATGCCTTTGGTGCAGCCCATGACCCCACCTACCCTGATTTAGACTTCTCTGTTTATAGCTTCCGAGCTTCTTTCTGTTCCTGAAGCAAATGAATCCCAAGGAAAAAAAAATCTATATTAAATGCTGGCTTTATAATTTTCCTACTTTAGTAGATGTTTGGCTACAAGATGAATTTAGTTTAAATAGAATATAATAAATCTTGTTAACTCCGAATTTACTAAAATCTTTGACATGAGAAACTGTTAAATTTGATAAATCTTGATAATTTATTTGGTTTTATGAAATAATTATATTTAAAAGATTATTAAATTTTATTAAAAATGAATCATGAGAGTTATTAGCACAATTTTTGACACAATTCCGACGCCCTGGCCCTGAAACTAGGCCAAGTTACTCATTCTTCTAACTCCCGAGATCAGCGCAATGGTTATTGTTCTCTGTAAACATTTGACATTTAAATAGGATGATCAGCCGCGTTAAATCAGGCCTGTTATAAAATCTATGTGTTCTCGAATTTATCGACTATCAGAAATGGAATTATAGATATCATAGGATTTAAGGATGCTGAAACCATATCAGAATCTTTACAAACAACCCCTTAATGATACCATTTTGCTTTTTTACTGTTTATATAATAAAACGGTGGGGCTTAAGGAAGAGGTAATTTCCCTCTAGTTGATATTTTAGTGGTGATTCAAAGATTTATAATGGATTAATTTTTTAGCTGAGCGTCTAATCACAAGTTCTACAAAATTTTAAGCTAAATTAATAGCCAATAGTTTTATGGCATCTTCAACCGAACTCCAAACGCTTGAATGACGTCCCTTGCCAGCTCCAACCGAACAGTAAAACTTCCGCTATTTGGTTGCGGGTGAACAGTGGGATGCTAATATTGGCTTTGCACTGTTCATCTCCGCCATTTTTACCTCTCTTCCAAACTTGCCGCGGGAAAGAAGAGACGACCGTTACCTGCAAAAGGGGGAAAAATGGAATTCGATTGGAGATAAATCATGTCATTTTGTAGTTTCACGACATTTTGGAGTGAAAAATGAGATTTTCGGTTGGAGATGCTCTTAGTGAACTTCGAGTGCCGGATTCCACGATAAGCAGATAGGCTCCGAACCTTTGGCCCACTGACTCGCACTATTTTGGTCTTTAGGCGTGATCTATTTTTTTATTGGGAAAGTTTTTTACACTAAGCATTGTTAATAATTAAATTAAGTGTATAATCATGATTAAAATAAAATTTAATACTAGACAAAGTCCCTCCTTTAATGGACGACTTTTGCTGACTAGGCAAAGCTGGGTCAGCTAGTCATTAGCTAGTTAAAAACTAGGATCTAATTGACGACTTAATGTAATTCGCCAACGGGCGACTTCCATTAATTTTTTTTTTTTCAAAATGCACGACATGGCTAATTGATGCATTGGATACAGCGACATATCAACCTTTATTTTTTTTATATCTATCATCCATCTATTATAAACATGTAGATCATCAGTATTATCAGCTGCATTTTCGACACAAAAATTCAGCATCACCTAACCCAATCTGTCATATTACTTTCTTGTACTTCTCATGTAGATGCCTTAAGCAATGCCTGTGAGCTGCGCCAGAGAAATTTTCCCTACATCCTCGAACTATACTAACATATATACTTGTTAGAGATAATACACAGATTTTGCCTATTTGTAATAACTGGGAGGAGCTTGTGTAGTTGCCCGGGGAATCAAATTCATGATTTAGTACATTCTGACTCAACAATAGCAAAGGCAAGTGAAAATAAACCATTATTTGCATCTAAGCTAATCGCGGTTAGTAATGTCCATCGATATTTACCAAGCAAGAGTGTCCCATCATGACTAAGAACAGGCCGACAATTCTACTACTCAGTAACCGACTGACCGAATGCTCAGAAAGTCTTTGAAACCTATTAGCCTTTGTGCTTTGAATCCTATAAACAGTTCGTGGCATTGTAGAAGCTACGGCATCCTTGAACAAATTTAGATCGGGTACAACTCCTCCCAACTCCACAAAATAGCCATAATAGCTTTTCGTCGTGTATCCCAAGCCTTCATGTATGAAATTTTTATGTTGAACTTTGTTTCCATACGACCAATTATCTCCCTCGGCTTCAATTTCATCTATTTTCTAATTATCAGTAGTATATATAAACCGCGAGTTACACTGACGATGACCACTTTCAAAATTTGGTGTGCATAGGTGTGTTGGTACTTTATTGATAAGATTTTCATATACCACCTAAGTGTTTGCTCAGAGCAGAATGCATCCGCCATAGGCAAGGAGACATCAGACAATCATGCTTTGCACATACAACCGTAAATTTCTTAGTATTTAATGCGATGAAAATATATTGAACATTATAGTTTATATATGTTATTATTAATTTACATTATTATAATTCAACTCATTATACAATATCATCAGGGGCGGAACCAGCCCTAATTTTCAGGGGGGGCAAATTTATAAGACATATGTCGGGGGTCCAAGGGGCAGTGTCTTCTGGCGGGGTTCGACCTGTGGGGGCAATTTAAAGACCATAATATTTTAAAATTTTTAGGGGGGGGGGGCAATTGCCTAAAAAATGAGCAGGAATGCGCCGGGCAGGGAGGAGGGCCAAATGCATGAAAATCCTTGTAATAAAGACAAAAAAATGAATAAAAAGGGGTAAATTACCTAAAAAAATCATATAAAAAAATTTAAAAAAAATTTTGAGGGGGGGCAACTGCCCCCCCTGGAACCTATTGGGTTCCGCCCTTGAATATCATAATTGCAATACCCATTATTACTATGAAAATAAATTTACAAATTACCAAAAAATTTCTCTTAAAACATAATAAAAGTTAACCTCTTAATATTATATAACTTCAAAATAAATCAATTAACTTCATAATTAACTCATTATAAAAAAATTACTTCAATTCAAAAAAATAACTAAATAATTACCAGAAAATTACAAAACAACTAAATCCTAAATCATTACATAAAAAAAAAAAAGTTTAAACCAAATTTAATCTTCAGCACTTCAATTATTTCGCTCTGGCTCTGCGTTCATTCAATCGCAATGCTTTGCTCCCATTTGATATGACATTTCATTAGAATCTCTATTAGTTGATTACCTGGAGGTAGACTTTAATAATTTCCCGTTCAATCAGATTTTGTTTATGGGTTTTGTTACGTTGCCCAATCAAAAACCAGAAAAATGTTGATAATTTGGCATCCATTATTGTCATAATAATAATGACTGTCAGCATGTTCATAGAAACTGTCAGCATATTAATAATTCTTTCTTGTAATTATGTTAATAGCCATCATTAGTATATTAATGAAGTTTTCATTATGTAAACGAAGACCTGCCAACAGAACAAATTGAAAATTTTTTTGAGCGATGACTTGGGCAAAATACCAGTTAGTTCTTCTAGTTGTGTGGCAAATTACTAGAAGAAAGTTTGCTTCAGGCCTGCTTTTTTTTCGCTCCTATTGTTTTATAAGTAATATCGTTGACCTCTTATGCGCTTTCATTGTAACTTCTCACAGTTTGTAGGCACGTTCGGTCTGGTCGAAGGTTGAAGTTACAGATTCTTCAACAGAACTATTTAATTGTTGAAATGTTTGACCTCCAGATATAAATGTATTATAGTTCAGACGATGAAAAGGTAAATGAGATTATTTTTTCTCTCTTATAAATTGTAGGTAAACACTTATGACTTTACTCTCATATAACAAAGAGTTACTCATCAGTTTCTAAGAAGCTGCCAACGGTTGATGGACTGCAGCCCAAACTGCAACGACAAGAAGGCTCTTAAGAGGTGGTTCTTCATTGATAAAAGGGTTGGGTAACAAGAAGAAGATGATGATGAAGTGGAACTAGAAGAAGAAAAAGTTTTGGCTTCATTCTGGTTCCCATGGATTTCAATCCAAACCACAAATCTTCTATTCTAATTGATCAAGTTCCTCTGAATAAGGCAAGATTATCGTCTAGTTTGAACCCATACTCGCCTCCATCAATAATATTTTCTTCAAGTTTATTCTTAACCATCCCCAGAAGAAAAGCCATGTCTGGTAAGCTCGACCATGTCCATGCTAATAGCTGGCATGATGCGATGAAAGCATCATCTCCTCAAAAAATCTTTGATGATGATATCAACTTTGATGCTGCTTGTGATGAAGCTGATGCAGAGTATCGCTCTTGGTTGGTAGGTTACTTTCCACCCCTTGTAGATACTTAGTGCTATGGCTTATTGAAGTTAATTGGCCACTTTCATCTTTTTATTGCAGTTTAAATTTCCTTCAGCCCTATCTTCTTTTGAGCAAATAAAAAATTATGCCAAGGGAAAAAGGGTTGCACTCTTTTTGGATTATGATGGAACTCTCTCACCTATTGTGGACAATCCTGATCATGCTTTTATGTCAAGTGAGGTATGCAACGATCATCTTTTTTAAATGTCAAATGTTTTTGAATTTCTTTAATATACTGCAATTAAATTGTTATTTTTGTTTGCAGATGCGTTCTGCTGTTAAAAAAGCTGCTAAGTATTTTCCTACTGCCATTATAAGTGGAAGGAGTCGCGATAAGGTAATTTGTGATTTCATTTAAAATTTTCTTTATATGTTTAGCGCTAAAAAGCATTGCTCTGCTTGTGTTTAAAATGTGCTTCTAGGTTCATGAATTTGTAGGACTGAAAGAGCTCTATTATGCTGGAAGTCATGGTATGGACATAGTTGGCCCAGTAGGAGATTCTGAAAGTGTTATCAACCATTCAGGTTTCATAAGATCTACCAATGAGCAGGTAAAGCAATTGTTAGTAAACTAATAATAGTGTATCAAATTTAAAAATTTTATATTTTGTAAGTTTGATTTAATCCATCTTACTTCAATTTATCCATCCCATGCAGGGAAAGGAAGTAAACCTGTTCCAACCTCCAAGCGAGTTCTTACCGGTGATCGACGAGGTACTATTTAGTTCTTTCATATAAAACATATTTCATGTTTCGATCCTACATTAAGTAAGCTTTATTTGAGCTAGAACAACATACACTTTTCTATTTCAACAGATTTGTAGATCACTCGTAGAAAATACTAAGGACATTATAGGCTCAAATGTTGAGAACAATAAATTCTGTGTCTCTGTACATTACCGCCTCGTAAATGAGAAGGTAAATACTTAAAGCTTGAAATTGTAAAGGCATTGGTGCTGAACTTTTTTAAATTTTCTTCATCTGTGTTACATTTATGAGCACTATTTTTTGTTTGCAGGATTGGGATGTGATTGCTCAGCGTGTGCTTGGTGTTCTCGAGAACTACCCTCATCTGCAACTAACTTATGGGCGGAAGGTAATGCAAGATTTATTTTTTTTTTTTCATAATGGATTAATATTTTTGTTGTATTTATATATTAATCCAAATCGGAGGGGAGAGGATTACTAAAAAGGATGTGTTTGTGAGTGCTAAGCTTATTTCATCTATAATTGTTTTCATGATGTAGGTTTTAGAAATCCGTCCTATAATAGACTGGAATAAAGGGAAAGCTGTTGAATTCCTGCTTGAATCCCTAGGGTTAAATGACAGTGATGATGTGCTTCCTATATATGTTGGTGACGATCGCACTGATGAGGATGCTTTCAAGGTAAATTCTTTATATAGAAAGATTTTCATTTTAAATTTATCTGAATAACTTTTAGGCTGAATTTTGGTTGGAAGGAAATGGAGATAATGCTAATACTTCGAGAAATTATTACGTGCGGTCATCAGGCCGTCCGGAAGTAAATCAGAATACGTCACGTCACTCTTTACAAAGCAGTACACAATACCGACACATAGCAAAAAAATGACGTGGTGCATCTTGATTCGCTTCCAGATGGCGTCCGGGGACAATGCGTAATAATTTAACTAATTTTTGACATCATAATTCATATTATTATAATTATTTTTGGTTTTAGTGCAATTTTTAGGTAATTTGTTTCGACTAGGACATAAGGACATTGTTGTGTCACAATTTCTCAACTGCCTTCCTGAATACTAATTTTAATTTAATTTAATTTATTTATCATTTCTATTTGCATTCGCTTCTCATTTTCTCTGTTCTAACTCAAACCAAACAAAGGACAACATAAAAGAAAAAAGAAACATTTAATGTGAAAATTATCATGAAAAATGTGCACAGAATTTATTTGTTTGCAATTTGATTGACATTTTGCAGGTTTTAAGAGAAAGGAACAAAGGCTATGGCATTTTGGTTTCTTCCATTCCTAAAGAAACTAATGCCCATTACTCTCTGAGGGATCCATCCGAGGTGAGAAACTATAAATTTTTCTTCTTTTATTTGCTTGATCATTATAACAGTACTTACATAAACTCTTTTTTTTTTTTTCCCTTTTTCCTGCTCCTTAACCAGGTCATGGAATTTCTTAGATCTCTGGCGAGATGGAAAAAATCTGAAGTTGCAGCCCACTGATTTGCTTGATTCTTTCTCGTACCTTCACTATTTATTTATAACAACAAAGATTAATAATAGGAGTACGAAGGCCGTTTTTTTGCCTTCGAGGGAAATTGTAATAATGTTAAAGAAGCAATGTGGGTTGTTGGCTGTAGGCTACCGTAACATTTTAATCTGCACTTCTCATATTTAATTTGTAATTTTCTGTATTTTAATGTTATAGATTATTCCTGTTGAATCTTGAAATATTCATGGAGATAGAGAAATATAAAATTTAACGTTTTAGTTTTGTATGAAGATCCAGCGCACAATCAGTAAAAGAGAAGGGTGTAGCGTTTATAAGAGACACCAAAGTTTTTATCTAGAAACCCTTGAAAAGAGAGAAAAATCAAAGGACTTCACCCAGTTTAAATGAATCCACTAGTGTTTGTAGTCGATAACAAATGAGGTCTGACGGAGGTCAGAAAGATCGCAGTCGGATGATGGTGGTCGGAAGGATTGTTGTCGGTGGGTGACAAAGGTCAAAAAGATAGTTGTCAGATGATGGAGGCAGGTAGGGCCATAGTCAACAGGAAGGTTAAAAGGACTGTTATTTGATGACAGATGCCAGAAGGAATGTTATTTGACGACGGAGGTATGAAAGGACCGTAGTCGGCATACAATGAAGATCAGAAGGACTGTAGTCAGTAGGTGATGAATGTTGGAAAGATTTTAGTATGGTGACGGAGGTTAGAAGGATCGCAGTCAGCAGGCGAAAGAGATCAGAATGATCGTTACCTGGCGACGGAGGTCGGAATAGCCGTAGTCAGCAAGCGATTGTAGTTAAAAAGGCCATTGTCAGTGATAGAGGTCATATAGATTGTAGTCAACCAGCGACGGTGGTCAAAAAGATCGTAGTCAAGTGACGAAGGTCGAAAAGACTGTAGTTAAAAATTGGTGGTTGGAAAGATTGAATTTGGTGGGTGATAGAGGTTGAAAAGATCGTTGTCAGCGATTGTTGTCAGGATGAAATCCGGTGACAATTGGTGGCTAGGTTTAAGTTCAGTGATAATTGTTGGTCGGGCGGAAGTCTAATGAAAGTTCAACAACAGTTAGTGGTTGGGCCGTGGTCGAGGAGGAGCTTCCTCTCCGCCCTTCTTTTTCTTCCTTTCTTGGTACCCCCTCAATGAAGAATGAGAGGTATCTTTATGATTTTTTGAGAGTGGCATGACCAGTAAATAGGGAGAAGACCAAGAGCATGTTGGGAGTGTTTTGAATGGACGATCGATATCGACTCCCTTAATTATAGATAGTTTATCAAGTATTTACATGCATTAATGATGTCAGAATTCAACTATCTTAGGCTTTTTAGATTTGCCTTATCGAGCTGCTTGATTTGACTATAAGCATCTCTGTTGACCTTATTTTTGTATGAGGTCACTAAGACTTTTCCAAGACCATAAATCGATCCTGACCCTAGATCAGCCTAGCCTATAAACTAATCTAGAATCTAGGATCCCCTAGACTTCAGACCCTAGGATCCATCAAGATCTTATATCAATCCAAATTTAAGTCAATCTACATCTCAAATTAATCCAGACTTCAAACCCATCCAGATCTCAAATCAATCATGACCTTTAATCAGCCCAGACTTAGTCAACCTAGCTTTTTTATCAAGCTCCTGCCCTATCAAATCATCTACGTCATCCATATGATTGTTGTTGACATGGATAACTTAAGTTTGAATAATCAAATCTAAAATCTAGCTCAAACCCATAAATCCATACCCTTGACCCAAGGCTAAAGACTAAGGTTCTAAAGGGTTTTTTTAGTGATTTTTGAATCACTTCAAAATCTAGTAAAATGACTCTTGATTCATGATATATCAATTTCATATTGATTAGGCATGTCCCTGGGTCTACCCTTCAAATTTGAGCTCAATCTCAGGTCTCTAACTCCAAAAATTGAATTGAAATTCAAAGGCTATAAAACCTTTAAATATTTATGGGCTATGCCATTATACCTGTCACCTACTGGATATTGACCTTGGAGCCTTCTCCAAACCTTCTGATCACCCTTGATTATGACTTGTTAAACATTAAACTATATTTTGGTGGACCAACTTTGACCCCCAGTTGAGAAGGGGTCAAAATGACCAAATTGCTCCTTAAGGGAACTTTTGAAGTTTTCTTTAAACTTCAACATGGTATTTTCCTATAAAGCCATAAAACCTCTTCTAATGCATCCTAATCGCTATTAGGAGTGCAATGGACTATGCTCATACCCTGGTCAAGCTTGGTTGACCAGCTTAACAAGTTTTGACCAAAATACCTCTTATGGGTTTGAACCATCATTTCAAACCAAATGGCATCATCTTTGCATGAGATCACTTCTAGTAGATTTCAAACATCAAACTAATCTTGTTGGACATAAACTCAGGCCCTGGGTCAACCTAGTTGACCAAGTCAACATAGGTTGACTAAATAGTCTCTTTAGGTTCCAAAAAGTCAATTTGACTGAAATGTTCAAACCAGACCATAAGACCTCCTCCACTAGTCTCAAAACATCATTTCAAACCCATTGAATCCAAACCCAAGTGTTGGGTCAACCTAGTCAACCTAGGTTGACCAGATCAACCCTTAAGCTTTCCTATGTTAGATTAATTCTCAAATCTTTTCAAATGTCTTCAAAATTCCTTTGGACACTTCCCTAGTGACTTAGGGCAACTAGACACCTTGACCCAGTCCATAACTGACTTGGTTAATTAAACCCAATTATGGTCAACTCAAGTTAACATGGGTCCTTTAAAGACTCATACTCAAATACAATCTAGATCAAGCTTTTAAAACTCTTGAAATCATTCAATTGTGTGCCTTGAATATCTCTAAACCCTTCATGAGTCAATTTTTGATGAGCTTGACCAAGTCAACACATTAACTTGGTCAAACTATCATGTTTTTATCAAAACACCTCATGTGTTCAATCAAATCACATCAAGCTATTGATCTCATCGTATCTCATGGAGTAATGCATGCAAACTCAATATAAATAAAACTTTAGTGAGTTTAACCAATGTCAATTCAAACACTTGATTAAATTCCTGCATCTTTGGTCAAATCTTCCATGTCTATTTAATCAAACTCTTGGGAGCTCATTCAAATAGTGCCCATGTAATCCCCTTATTCACCTAGGCCTAGGTTGACTGTTTGACCAATCAAACAGTCAACAAGAGTTCTATATGGGTTTAAACACGGTCAAATAGCCTTTTAAGGAGTCAAATTTCTTCTAGTACTTAACTCTTGTCATTTAAACCTCTCCAACAGTTTTAAATGACTTCTAGAATCTTCCTAAACCAGGCATGAGCTTTGGATTAGGCTTAGATTAAGCCTAATCACCCCCATATGCATGTGAGGGTAGGAGCACCTTTCCACATAAGTATATTATTGGTCCTTTGAATCCCTGCCATCCAAACTAGAGGTGTCAATATTTGACACGATACGAAAACCCGGCTTAAACTCGAATAAAAAATTTTGGGTTAGATCTGACCTAATTTCAAAAAGGGTCGAGTTTGGGTTACGAGATTCATTTTTAATAAAAATACTTACTTTCTAGAAATTAACCTTATTAAAAAAAGTCCAAATTTGACCCCTTAATTAAATAATTAAAATAATCTAGAAAATTCCAAAAATTCAAAAAATCATTTGAAAATCTAAAAAACTTTATTCTAACTTAAAAAACTAGCAACCAATCAATTCTAATAAAAATTTATCAAATTTCAAACCTTAATCAATTCATTTAATTTATACTGGTTAGTATTAAGTAATCTAGGCTTGCATGGTAATTAAGATAGCCCCAAGGAAGATGAAATAAACTTATAGCCTTAAATAAAGGTGATAGCCATTTAAATTAAAAAATATATCTTAAAATTAATTCTAAAATATTAATATTTAAACTTTAATCAAAATTTCACTTTAAATCTTTCAACCAACTAGAATATGAAATAACTCCAACTAATTTCCATATATAGGATATATCCAAACTAAATAGCCTATCTCACATACTTTAGATAGTTTGCTAGAACAACCAACTCTAGTCTTAATTAGGCTAAGCTAACGCTGGTGTTTACATTCTACTATATGCCAAATTTTTTGAGCTTTCACTACATGGTGATTGCTAGTTTAGATTGATAGATTATCTATTTAATTTCTATGCAATCTATGTATTGTTGTAATGGGCATTATATTACCCATAGGCTAGAGATGATTTAAATGCTAATACAATCTTATCCAATTGACCATACTCATATAGGGTAATTAAAATAAAGGGGGAAAATAAATTAAGCTTTCAATTAATATGTTTTATGTAGGTGCTAAGCATATTAAGTATTCCTATAATTAAAATAGCATGGTTAAGTGTGTCTGTGATATGAGCATTTTAAGTTTTATAAAAGCACTTTGAGATGGGATATTAAGCATCTAATTTGGAATCCAAAGAGAAAGGGACATCTTAGGAGAGAATTCATCTCTATTTGAAGATCCAAATATCTAAAGAAAAAAGATATTACCCCTTTCTAAAGGGAGTTTCTTTTCATTTGAATATCTGGACCCGACAGATCTAAGGAGCCCAAAGAAGGATGAAGAAGTGAAGAATGGAAAGAGTCCCATTCTAAAATGCCACTTGAGTCCTATGAGTAAAATCCAGGTTATTGTTAGTGGTACCTAACCACTTTATATTTTCTGCAGAACTTGGGATATACTATTAAGTGGCACTTGTCATATAAAAATTATATTTTAGTATTAACTTTAATTAATTTTATTCGCATTAATTGTGCAATAAAAATTGTATGCTTTCTAGCTTTTTTTTATTATATGTTGACTTTTTTTTAACCTATAACCCAATCGAAGGCTCGTGAGAATAATATTTAAAATTCTTCTACTTTAATTAAAATTAAAAATTTAAGATAACATAGAAATTCTAATAATTTTAAGAAGTAAGATCGGGCTCGTCGAGAGTTAACATACATTTATATTAATCTTTCT